CAGCAGTTCCATTTCCTCTCCTCACCTTCTGTCTCTTTTTCCCTGATAACTTTAATTAAAGCAAGAAATATACATTAATAAGACAGGAGAGAGCAAACAAACATAAATACAATATCCAAAGGTATTATAGAATTGGTGAATCATAATGTCAGAACTAACTTGGTGCTCCAGGGCTGTGGTGTTTTCCTGCATTTTTCATAAAAAACAGGAACATTATTTGAGATTAAGGGAAAATCCAGAAGCTTTCTTTCAGCCAGCTGACGCCACACAGCAACAAGTGAGGGAGGGGGGAATGATACTCTACAGAAAGCGATGGTCAATCAGCGTTTCACTAAATAAACTTTCTGTTGGTAACCAGGCCACACCGATCTCCAGCACCCTTCAACTTTCTGTCAGCCAGCCAACAATAATCCAAAACTATCAGATATTATCCAGAAGGTGAGTCAGGTTGCCTCCTCAGCTTAACTTTACAAGCATGAATGTACCTAGGATGACATCTGCATGATGTAACCTGCTAAGTGCTGCCTGAAATACTGCACAAGCTGAGCAAAAGATGCCATCATGATTTTTTAATGCAGAGAGGCAGCTGTGCAAGAATGTCACACAGAAAAAGCTCAGAGATACATATTTAATGTCTTCATCCTCCAGTGCTCAGCATGTAACCATAAAAAAGAACCGTCTGGGACAAATAAACATGTCTCCTAATCACCTGCTCTCCGGCGTCTTAGTCCAAGTACACAAAGGTCAAAAAAGATTAGAAGCAACTAAAATTTGACTAAAAGAAGCACGAGGAAAACATACAAATCTAATTTTATTCTTAAATATTAGGGACAACAAAAGGTCCAAGAAGGTTCAAATCCTGGACGAGCCCCCAATTGTTACAACCTGGCTAAGTTTTAAGATTAAAACTATTTTTAGTTTTAATCTTACCTAAACTAAGGATAAGATTAAAATTTCTGACTTTATCATATGAAGCAGTCTCCGCCCAACGCTCCTAAGAACAATTGTAAATGGCATAATGGACGGACACTGTTGAGACGACATGTCAGAAAGAGCAGCAGCTTCTTAAAGAGACAGAGGCCCAATTTCAAGGCATTAAATTCCAAAGTGAAATTTATTTTAAGCTATGTTTCATACACAGCATTTTTATAACAAATTAGCTGATTGTGTTATAAGATGCCTGGAAAACCCATAATACTGCCCCTTTAAGACGCAGATGCTATAATGAGCTAAACGGGATGCGTTGAGGCTAACTAACACTGTGCAGATGGTGGCAGCATCATGCTGTGGAGACATGGAAGCTGGTTAAACATGGTGGTCAGTAGATGTTCAGATCTGGAGGAGACAAACATGCAGAAGGTTTTTCTACAAAGTTCAGCTGAACAGAAATGCTTCGTCTCGTCTTAGTGGTTCTCCATAACCTTGAGCTCAATCCTACTAGCATCAGCGTCTCATTGCTGTACAGATCCATGATGCAAATGGACCAAATGTATAATCAGTCCAACAGAACTTCTTCAGCCACTTTGGCTCCAGGATGACAGATTCTGAAATCTTGGACTTTACATGTTCTCATGTTTTGGTTTTATCTCCATAAAACCTCATCCAGCAGTTTAGTAAGTATGCCTGCGAAATCTGTGAAATTAATTTAAAAGTGTAGATATTAAGATGAGAGATCCCAGCAGAGGTTCCAGATTCCTACAGGATGTATTATTTATTGGGAGTTTGGGTTTGAACTAGGCCTGCAGGCTTCAGACTGTGCAGCTTATAAACTATCATCTTCCAACAATTTTATCTCTGTTCAGTTGGAAGGATTTCCAGTTTCCAGTCATAGATTAGATCAGATTAGATAACCGGCCCAATTATTTTTCCCTTCCCGGAGGGCAGACCCTCCCAGATGATTCGCTCACAAGTTTACCAGCAGCTGACCGCACTGCGCTCCCGTCCCCGCGGGTCCAAACGCTCCCGCTCCGGAGCCTTACCTCCTGTAGCTGCTCCAGCTCCTTCCGGAGGGTCTCCTGGTCGGTTTCCAGCTCTGCATATTTCTGTTTCAGCGCCTGGTTCTCCTCCAGGACGGCCAGCCCGCACTCCGCAGCCCGGATCTTCTCCCGGTTGGCCTCGGCCAGCTCCTGCGTGAGCCTCTCCACCTCGGCCCGGTACTGATCCACCGATTCCCCGCATCCTCCACCGGCGGCCATCGCCCTCTTTCCGCAGTGTGTTTTTCTGCCCCCCACCCCCCTGCAGGTCTGATCCAGCGCCGTGTCGGATGGAGGCAGAGCCAGAGAGGCGGGCGGAGGCTGGAGGATGCTGAGTGTCCGCCCTCCTCTTCCTCCTCCTCCTCTTCCTCTGAGAGGAAGCAGAGGACAGGAAATATCCGGGAAGGAAATCACAACATGTTAGCTGCTCTATATAGTATCAAAAATGAATAACTATGAAATGAAACCTTCCTAAAACAAGGTCAGTGTTGATGACACTCAACTAAACGGATGGTGTCATTTTTGCTTATTCATGGGTTGAAGGGCGCCACCTTTTGGTTACTTTAAGACACAGCACAGTTTGTCTGGCAGCCCTAAAGTATTCACACCCCTTCTCCACAGTCACTCATATAAATGTAAGTAGTGACAGTTGAAATGACAAAATATGACGAATCCCAGTTAATAACAGGTTATATTTCCTCAGTTTGGTTTATATTCAACAGCTTTTCCGACGTTACTTTAACTCATCATCTAAAAACTGCTTGTTGTTTTTCTTCATTAGAAAATTATTTGATGATCAGAGAAAGAACATTTTTACGCCACTGTTATTTATATTTAAAATTAAAGCTGATCCCATTCATGTTCTTATTTATAAATTCATGCTATTTTTTGTTTAGTGTATTCTTTTTGTCTTATTCTTTATGTGTTACTTGTATTTTTTAATTTAACACATTCCTCCTATGGGATGAATAAGAAATTAGATTTTTGTCCCATAAACATATTTTGGGTTTGGTATATTTGAGGACTTTTTTTCTATTTTTCTGTGTTTTCTTCAGTTCAGATGAAAAGTTTCTGCTGCACAAATCGATGTTTCTCACTCTGGTGTCAAAGTACTTTGCAGCAAATTATAAAAAAGAAAACAGGAGAAACAGTGGCACTGTAAAAAATGGCAAAGTCAGGTAAAATATGAGAAACTATAAAATAATTTCTACAGCCACATGTTTTATTTTTGCTTTTAAAAATCAGAGCATTTGATGTCTGACAATTATCACTAATTAATTATAAAGCCCTCATTGTGATAATTTGCAGTTATACAACAGTGGTCAAGGTTTTTTGTGCTGCTCCCTGCCAACTATTTCTGTCCTCCTTAACTCTGTGAAGCAGTAATAAATTTCTCACTCAGGCAGTAAACAGAAGATACGGCCGGGGTGAAAAGTTGAGCCGTTCTCATAAACCTGTAATCAGTTCTGGTTCCATCAAATCAGTTGTTGAATTGATCTGCAAGGTGGTGTTTTGCTATCTTTCTGAGGACTTGTAATTATTTACATAAAGCTGAAATAAGAACTGTTTAGATCGTTGCACAAGCAGAAACTTTTTTTAAGCCTGACTTTCTAAAACAAAGTAGCATTTGTAGAGAATACGGTTTAAAGAAGCAGAAGTTTTCCAGCATTAACATGTGAGCTCCTAGTTGTAAAGATATTCCACTAGGTGATTTTTTTTTGCCTTTGGACTGATTTGACAAGCCCTCCAAATAAATGAGCTGACCTGCGATTAACCTTGTCTTACAAGTCCAAATTAAGATAAGGAGAGGTTGTCAGAAAGTCAAGCAGATGAACTTTTCATGACTTGGGCCTATCTTATCTTTCACAAGGAAGTGTGGCGTCATGAAAAAGGCTAAATGCTGTCGTCCATAACAACACAGCGGTTTCTGGTCAGAGACATGTAGAGTACAGCTGCTTTCAAAACTTAATCTGTACACAGATTTATCTGCAAAATTTAAAGAAAATGCAAAAATCATTTCAGAAATTCAGTTTATTGGAAAATGCAAAATGTTTTTAGTTGCATGCGCAGCACACAATGTTAAGAGAATTAAGGTTAAATTTCACAGAGCCTGGTTCAAAACTCCACATTTACATTTTATATAAAAAAGATTTTTAAAACTGTGAACATTGTGAGATAATGAGAGGGGCTATCGTTCTGTCCCGTACAGGTCGGAGCAGAGAGTCCTGTAGCTGTGTGTGCTGCCTTGTGTTGGAGTGGCTCTGAAAAACAGCCTGGACGGTTCAGGTGTCCAGCAGGTCAGCCAGTGCATCGGGTCAAGAGGCGGCTCCTGGAAATGAAATTAAATATTTCCCAGTGATTTTACAACCTGAAAACAACCTGCAACCTGGAAAACGAGTCGCAGTACCTCATAATAAATCGGAGGATGAGTAGCTGAACATATCCGCTGCCTGGTCATCACCTCGATTTCCTTCAGTGTTTCTGACTTTCTCCACTTTGCTCTGCGGTTCTGGAACCAAATCTGAAGCACAATAAAATTCTGTTTTATTGGGACATGAAATCTGCAAAACGATGTAACAAAGGTGTAGTTAAAGCCATTACAAGGAAAAGAGCTTAAGAGACGCGCTGAATTGCCTCCATCAAGGTCAACAAGCCGTTTACGACCGGTTTCAGTGAAATTAGCAGCGATAAAAAAAACAAACAGTGCATTTAAGTTTAAAAAATTCCATTTTGTTTTTATGCCATGTTACCAAAACATAAATTATTCAACAATTATTACAATTTTACTTCAGTTAAGCAATCTGTTTGTACAGGCATATTTCCGCTAGTGCGCTAATAGCAGAGCTAATTTTAGCTTAGCGCTTTAACACTTTTGCTAACTATGAAAACATTTAACTTACTTAGTTTTCCTGAAATTAAATTTTCTGGATAAATCCTAAAGCACTAATTTACTGTTTCATAAACTTTCAGTTGAACAAATCTTGACATCTGTGAAAACGTTTTTGTTATCGACTGTTAAGAATTTTAAAAATAATTAGCCATTTACATTCATGCTCTTATTTTGAAGAGGGTGAAGTCTATATACAAAGCAGCTTCCTTTCTCTCTTTTTTAACCCTGTTAACTTTATTTCAAACAAGAAACCTACAGGAACAAAATAAAATACAGACAATAGAGAACAATTAGCAAGGATAAATACAAAAGGGCATTATGGGATATGTTACGCATGTCTAAGTTAATCTGGTGCTCAAAGGTTGTAGTTTGTAACTTAAATTAGTTCTTTAGCATTAGTTTGTGTCAGATATCATGTTTATGTAGCGCTTTAGCATTAGCAGAACTGTTTATTTTTAGCGCAGCTAACCTTTAAGTTGGCAGTGCTCACCTCTGCTGATTAGTTTTCTTAACATACTTTTCTGAATAAATTACTATTTACATTAAGATTTATGAGTTTTTATTTCTGCTAATTATTTTTGCTTACATCCAATGCAAACATTTAAGATTAGAATATTACTCTTAACTTGATTATTTAATTTATTTCTTATTTCTAAATGATATTGGCTACATTTTATCAGGAAATAAAGGTTTATTATTATTTAATTAGACCAATAAAAAATATTTTTTTATTGAGAAATATGAGATGAATTAAAAGGTTGTTATTTCCTACAGGTTAATTTGATGAATGAGCCTCATTGAAAAGGACAATATAATTTATAATATAAATATGACTGTTTACATATAGATATCATTATTTGGAGTCGTTTGCATCCTTCTGGCCATGAACCCACAGAAGCAGGTGTTGTACCTGTATTCGTCCCTCCGTCAGCTGCAGGCGGCCGGCCAGCTCGTCCCTGGTGTTGACGTCTGGATAGTGAGTCTGCTGGAAAACCGCCTCCAGCTCCTGAACCTGGAACGGCGTGAACGTCACCCTGGTTTGCCTTTTCCTCTTCTGATCTGCAGGTGAACAATTTCTTAATATCTCTTTGCTTGTTAAAGAAATGCCACATTTACAAAGGTGTCTCTGTTAAGTTAATAAATACTCACTTTTGGTTTCTGTGGCAGATGTTGGAGATTCTTCATGATTTTTCTGTGAGGAATCTATGAACAGTGACAAGCTTTAACGGGAAAACTTATTTTCTGGCTACATTTTAAATCAAACTGTTAATTAATGGGATATTTAAAACCTTACCTGTGTAAGAGAGCTGGTTATGTACCTCAGTGTTATCTTGAATAACAGACCAGTTTCGATAAACTCTTTCCTCTTTTCTGATCGGTCTTCTTAGTATTTCTTCAATTGAATGGGAAATGTGTTTGTGCTGCTGTGATTCCTTCTCTTCATCCGCACAGGATTGTTTTTCTCTCTCTCCTTTTGTCCACATATTCAACAGTTTATCTCCCACCACCAGCAGGCTTGTCATTATAGGTAAAAACTGATCAGAAATCCTCTCAGTGTGTCTCCAGTATCAGAAGCTGTGAAGGTAAACAGATTCTGCAGTGTTCACTCCGTCACAGGAAGACAATGTGGTTTCCTCCCTCCACTGGCAGTCTATGTTTGACCCGCATCACATGGTCAGCATGGAGGTGGAGCATCAGAGCACAACAGAATATTTCCAGGAAACCCTTAAAAATCAACATGTACCAATTAGTGACAGAACTCGTATAGATTTGATGTCAAATCAGAGGAATCAGAACTTCTTACTCTGTAGAACAAACTGCAGAAAAATCATGTACAAGCTATGCATCTGGTCTGAAACCTGGATAATATTCAACTATTAAACACGTTTGGTTCTCTTTCTTATCACCTGGTTTACTGCACAGGTAATGTTTATCACTTTGGCCTTGTTGCACCTTCTGTTCTCTTCCATTCAGAAACTCAGGAGAATCTCATCACGTTAAAAAAAGACCATTGATTGAGGAATTTGTCTCCCTCTAGTGGCCTGCGCCGGCAGCTCCTCTCAACCTTTCCATACAGTCAGTCTATCCAAGAACCAACAAGACTTTTCCAAAACGGATTTTCTGTTCCAAAGCATCATTCTAAATGTGTTTTACTTCAGATTAGTTACCATAATTACACAGATAATACACAGCTCTACATAACATCGCCAGGTAACTCTGAACCCACTGATAACTGCAACAGAGTCTTCACTAAAGTCTAACTAAAAAAAATAAATAAATCAGAAGTTGTATCAACCTTCCAGACCTGTTGGGTTTTCTGGTTCTAATCTGATTCCCAGAATCAGAACCAAACATGGCAAAATAATTTATGCTCCTCTAATCTGGAATAAACTTCCAGAAAACAGCAAATCTGCTAAAACACTGAGCTCCTTTAAACTAAAGGCTGCTTAGCTGCCTTTGATTAATAATCACTGGAACTTATTAGTTTAATATTACAACTTTTCATCCCTTTCCTTTATTCTGCCAGTGCAGTGCCTCCTTTTTCGTTTGTTTTGTGTTTCATCATTTAAAACACGTTGAATTTTCCTGTTGCCTAAATGAATCAAATAATTAAACATGGCTTACTCTTTTAGGTGTTTTCTGGTGTTAGCTCCTGTCTATTGGCTTCATAATTATCTTGTGAATAGTTGATGACCGCAAAAAGGCAGGTCAAGTATCCCCAGAGGAACTTGTACCATAATTTGAGAAACTGAGGTAAAAATGCATGAATGATATTAAATATTAGTTTATGCTACGTCTGGAAAAACAGCATTAGTAAGAAATGTTTCCAGTCTTCAGGGTCAAAGTTTAATCAAAGTATTTTGATAATCTGCTCAACAAATTTCCTCAGAATATTGAACCTAAAAATATTTTAAAACATTTATTTAGGAATCCAAATAATTATTAATTAAACAACTAAATGCTTATTACTCTCAACAGAAAGGCTGTTGGTCTAACAATGTGATTCAGGTCTGTATGCAGACTGGGGAGTCATGAGCAGCAGAGAAACAACAGGAAGCAACAATATAATCTACACGAATAATAACATTATCATTAACAGCAAGTTTAAATTTAACTAACGAGCTAAAGCAACAAATTGGTTAAGAAATTCTATTAACCAGTTTATGATATGGAGATTTATTTCTTTAAAAACAATCAGAAGCTTTATCTTTTAAATGAAATGATCCTGGTTGAGACTTTAAAATGTTTTAGTCCCGTTTGAGTCTCCTGTGGGTCTGAACACTTCCTGCATTGTTTCTGAGTTCAGCTGATTGAACTCTTGCTTCACTGTTCCAGCGTTAAATCCTTAAAAGAGCATAAAAACAGGAGATTCCTTTAATGAGACAAACTGAAAGCGGCGGCCGGACCGACATGTGAACGATCAGCCCTGCTGATCCACTGGAAATGACTCAGCTGTCTGAGGCGGATTCATAAACCAAATGGATTCTTTACAGAGATCCCAAAACAATAGCTGCCGACCGGCAGGACGGGAGGCAACAAGGGACATTTCCCAACGAGAAACGGCGGAAATAAAGGAGAAATTACCTCAGCAGGAGAATTTCATGTGGTGATTAGGAGATGAGACCAGGCTCTGCTTCCTGAAGAGTTTTAACATTTAACAAAATAAGATGCAATTCTCAACAAAAAGCAAAAACAAGTATAGTATTTTCCATATAATTTTAACTTTTAGTTTCAATTTCCCACTCAGAAAACGTTTTATTTTTCACATTGAATGTTCCAACTTTTCTTCATGTATAATTTTTTCTCACTCTGTCAGTAAAATAAATACAATGATTCATTCAGCTGCGTTATGGAAACGTGTCAAATCCACACTTAATATGTTTGCTTTGTTTCTCAACATTCATCCTGCATATTTTAGGACTGAAATGATTAATCACATTAATTGTTATTAATCAATTATTGAAATAATAATAATATTATAATACATGCTTGAAAGAAATGTAATTTGCTGAAAAACCCCAACAAACTCAAAACAATAATGAAGCCAAAACTACAAAAAGAAAAAAATGCTTTGCATTTAATAATAATAATAATAAATCTTTTTCTGTAAATCTGTTCTTCCCAAAAATCAAGTTGCAGTTTTAGCTTCACCTTTAAATCCTGTAAAAATAATCTCCTATTAAGCACCTTTTGCTATCCAAATAATCTGTTAATCCGGAAAATATTCTCCAGATTTTCACAGGCTGATGTTAGAAGGATTACTAGCTGCAGATTTATCCTCTTTTCTCCCAGTAACTTTATTTAAATTAGGTTGCGTTGCTGCTGCAGGTTGTGAGCTGCATGTGATTTCTAATTTCTAAAAACTATTCTGTTCATGTCGTCATCGTTCAGGAGAACCATTGGTGCCGACAGTCATGTCCAGAGTAAAAACATACAGAAAAAGCTGAATTTTGGCAGCTTTATCTGCTACTTTTTAGTATAATGAAGCTGAAGAAGACAATCTGTTGTTTTTTCACATCTCTGCTACATTAAGCGGTATTGTTGAATCATTTGCACCTGTTATTATAAACTTCAAGTTTGGAGTGAAATGCTATTTGCTGCATACCCACAGTTTATTTCTGTTTTGTGCACATAAGTGTCTTCAAGCAGTCAGTCTTATGAGGTGAGGTGTTCAGTATTGAAAACTGCAGAGATGTTCATGCCAGAAGTGTGACAGTAACTTTCTTCCTTCTGGACTTTAACTAGGTAGATGTGGGCTGCTATCAAACTCTCAATTTACACTAATAATGTAATTGAAGCTAATGGCATTTGGAGGGAAATGGAGAGGTACGGTAAATTGGGAAATGAAGTTATGACTTACAGCGGCTCATGAACAAGCCTTGTGTTGTGTGATACTTTGCCAGCACGTGATAGTCACAAACACAAAAATGTGTTGTTAAAATTAGAAGGAAACTGGAGCAGTTTGAGGAAAACTCACAACCAACCAATACAAAATGCTAAAAACAAGATTTACTCAAAGTGGAACAAATTTACCCCCAAAAGCAGCAAAATAACAGCAATAATCCTGAAAGGAGGCGAGAACAGGAGCCAGGCTGCAGAGATTCTGGCCTCAAAGGTTTCCTCTTATGAGATTAGTTTGTTTTACAGTGAAAAGGACAGAAGATCTCCAGCCTGCCAGAAGCTGGTTGGTCAGCTGCTGCTACTGTTGTAATTCGGTTCACATGAGCGCTCGGTTGGACCCATTTCAGTCAGCACGAGCTGCAGTCCCATGTCTGAAATTAGCTTTTTCTTAGCAGGCTGTCCACCCCGCCCGCGCTCCCGCCTCCCAGACGCTTCCTTTTGTCTGGCTTTCTCCTCTTTCTGTTTCTTCTCAAACTTCAGGAAACTAAACCTGAGCCAGCAGGTTGAAGCTGACATGACCTCAGAGAAGGAGAGCAATGGACTCAACAACTATGCCTTTGCGGTGAGTTTAATGCTTTGCTTTTATTTGATAAGAACAAGCTTTACTAAAAATGACATATCTGGAAATCTGGGGATGAACTTCTTTCCTTATTTGATCTGGTTAAACGTGTTGGCTTTACATGCTGTCAACAGCTGGAACTGAAGAAAATACAAAAATCAATTTATAAATTTGCATTTTTCTGCCTTAAAGCTGGAAGTAAAAGCCAAAGCAGTTTTTCCCCTCATTGAATTTGCAGGACCCAAGTTCTACAGGTTCTTTGTTACTTCACTGCCTCAGGTCTAAACAAATGAAAAAATTAATTTCTGTCATAAAGAAGAAACATTTGATTTAAATTTTCTGTAATAATTTCTGAAAACGGGAATGTTTGGGGGCGTTTTGTGTCCAAACTTTTGCCTTTTTCTGACGTCTTCCTGTGTCTGTCTGTGGAACTGAAGCTGGAAGGACGTTTCTGTGATCTGCCAGAAAGAGGAGAAGATCTGGACTCGTCTATCGATGAAGACACGAACAAACTGGCTTACTGCGTGACAGACGTCCCGCCCTGGTACCTCTCCATCCTCTTAGGCACTCAGGTTTGTCAGGAAAAGCTTTGGAAGCCGTCAGTTTTCATGCAACATGGAGTCCAGAGTTACATAACAACGTAAACAAGAGAGGCAGGATTTGATTCAGGTTCTTAGTTTATGTTTCAATAAGTTTAGGGCTGCAACTAACCATTATTCTAGTAGAATATTCTGATGATTAGTTGATTAATCAGATAAAACATTTACCACATTCTGCAGATTTTTCATTTAACCACTTAATCTTTTTTATAGATGCATTGAAAGATGCGAATAATTTTTAAAATAAGAAAATAAACATTTTGTTTCATAAAACTCAACAGTAACATTCCTTCAGCGAAGTAAAGGAGGCATCTGCGGCTAAAAGGTGAAAAGCTCATTTTATTCTGCTGGACATCAGAACAGTGTAGCGATCATCTGGTGATTATTTTATGAATCAACTGATCAAAAGTTACTGAATTGGATTTTTTTTTTTTACAGAATTTGAACCAGTCGAAGCTAAAACTGCCACTAGAGGAGTTATGAATAGTATTTCTTTAATATCTTAAAAACTAAATGTATACTTTTTTACAGTTTTGGCTTAATTACTGCTCTACTTGTGTTGTTCTTTCAGCAAATTATAATTTTTATAGTCTGTACTCCAGTTAGCAATTAATCGATACTAAATTTGTTAAATTTCACTGATTTATCATTATTAATCATTTCAGTACTAAATGAATTCATGCATTAAAAGTCAAACTGTTTTCTCCTCCATGCTTACTTTTAAATGTCCCTCCTGTGTTCCTGTAGCACTGTTTGACTGCCTTTGGCGGCATCATCGCCATCCCCCTCATCCTGTCGCAGGGCCTGTGTCTGCAGCATGACGGCCTCACTCAGAGCTACCTCATCAGCACCATCTTCTTCGTGTCTGGACTCTGCACCTTGCTGCAGGTCACCTTCGGCATCAGGTAGGAACTGATACCAGAAGGATCTGGCTACCTGCTGAGGACGGACTATTAGCATGGATTTACTGCCAGCAAACAGAACATCACAGCTACAGCCAAGCATGGTAGTGGCAGTGTCATGGTCTGGGATTACTTTGCTTCTTTTATATCTGAACAACTTTCTGTTATTGTTGGAACCATGAATTGTGCTCCCTTGCAGAAAATCCTGAAGGAAAACATCCAGTTATCAGTTTGTTGCCTTAAACTCAAACACAGCAGCTGAACAAAGAACCTAAAACTACCAGTTCTCAGCTTCTCCACACATCGTCTGAGTGGTTTAGAAATGGGTTTTCTGAAACCAGCCTTTTGTATTTCTGAATTTGTTTGATGATCTGAAACATTTCAATGTGCTAGAAAAGCAAAAACTGGAGAAATCTTTGACCTTTTCATGCTGTGTAGCAGAAGTGAGGACCCTGTGTTAGTTATGCAGAGTTAAGGTGACATTAAATCTGGTGTAAAAGCTGTTTTTGTCTTTGAAACCCACAGATTTAAAATGTGATTTCAGCTCTGAGCGCTGCAGCTCAGCCTTCCTGAATCCCGTCGTCACAGCTGGATTAGTCAAGGAATTTCCATCTCATTATGTCCGGAATCTGGTTTCTGCTAAAACCCGCATTCTCCTGGCTTAGCACCACTGATGCTTTCTTGTCCTTTCCTAAACATTCAGGCATGAGCTGGCAGGAAAACATCACCTTCAACAAGCTCAAGTTTTTCTTTCCCAAAGCAAACATCTGCAGCCATTTTCTCCTCCAATAACTTCCTGCATGATGCTGATTTACATGCTTCACTGGAAAGTCGGATGTGTATGGCAGATAGTGAGCAGCACAGAGAAAATCATTAGCAGCTCATTGTTTTAACCCACTTAACCTCGAGTCTGTGTGTCTAATAGGAGAGTCACTAGAGAAGCTAGAGTCACTCTCTAGCTTCACATGATCTGAATTAACTGTTCACATATGCAGCAGATGGAGACTGTAGGTTTAAATTTCCTGTTTATGAATAAATCTAAATGATCTCAGACTTTAGTAGCATTTTGCTTACATTAACCACTTGGCCATCTTTGCCTCCAGGCTGCCCATTCTTCAAGGCGGCACGTTCACGCTGCTGGCTCCCTCCATGGCGATGCTCTCCATGCCAGAATTTACGTGTCCTGCCTGGACCCAAAACGCCAGCTCAGTCAACACTTCGTCCACAGAGTTCATAGAAGTGTGGCAGAGTCGGATGAGAGCTGTAAGTAAACTGTGAGCATTTAATCATTTAAAGCAAAGGTCGGATCTCCTGTTTTATTTTCCTCTGGGATCAACACAGTGTTTTTTAATTGAATTGAATTAAACTAACAGCTGGTCACATGACTCCACTGGGTTTTACCTCCAAATTTAGCAAACAAAGAGAAACCAAACACTTTTTGTAATGTTCTGAAAAATAAACTGGGTTTAGCACAAGCCATGGCAGCTGTGCACAGAAATGCTCAGGGTTTTATTAATGTTGTGAAATTTGGAATGCAAAGATTAACAGCAATATTTTGAGTTATTTAGCCTGTCATAGGAAAAAAAGGGAATTCATTTTTGAAAGTCACATTTTCGCTGTTATTCATACATTTCTAAATGTCACAGTTTTCAAACTTTATAACCCATTTAGCTCCAGTGAGCAAGCTAAATTATTAGTTTGAGGTTAAATACTTATACAAACAAATATATTTAGCTTACTGGCTAAATATTTAGTTATCTAAATAATTAGCCAGCAGGCTAAATATTCAGTCTAACCACAAAATATTTAGCTACTTAGCTAAATATTCAAGTTGGAACTAATATTTAGCTCCAAACTAAATATGTTTAGTTAGCAAGCTAAATATATTAAAACTTTGACTTTTTTCTCAGTCTCAAGGAATTGTAATTTTTCATTATAATCATTATTTTGTTTTTTGTTGTAGACTTTAGTCATTGTGATTATTTTATGTATTTTTAGGGTTTTGGTTTCAGCAATAACCAGCCAATGTGCTGTCAGATAGAAATAAAAACTCTTAAATTATATAATTTAATTTATAATAATTTTTTATATATTTATAGACTGAAAATATCCTAACAAAATGTCTTAAATAACGAGGTGGGGAATTGTTGTTTCAAGGCTTCTACTGTTCATTTCTCTTAGTACAGGTTCACGACACTCCCTCTTGTGGGAGACATGAGTATTACAAAAACAAAGACGAACGTGAATCATACATTTATAATATTTTATTCTTAGAAAATAAAACATCAGATTTTTTCCTCCTTTTTTCAAATTAAGTTCCGTTGTTTGTTTAGTTTGAGTATAATGATTGATGCCTAATAGCTGTGATGTTTCTGTCTCTAGCTGCAGGGCTCCATCATTGTGGGCTCCCTCTTCCAGGTGTTTGTTGGATTTTCTGGCCTCATCGGCCTCTTCATGCGCTTCATTGGACCCCTCACCATTGCTCCCACTATCGCTCTCATTGGCCTGTCGCTGTTTGATTCAGCTGGGAGCAGCGCTGGAAACCACTGGGGCATCTCTTCAATGTAATTCCTTTGACTATTTTGTATTTTTACACAAGAAAAAAAAAAACACACCAAACTGTTTATTTCTTTGAGGAAATCTGTTTTTCTAAATCTGGTTCTTATTCAAATTCAACAAGATTAAAAAATATCGATGCCTTATCCTTAATGATGATCCTTATGCGAAGAAAGACTGTTACAGTTTTCTGTTCAGAATCTGTTTTCTCCATCTTGTTTAAATTTCAGACTAATTTTCCTTCTGTCTGCCTCACAGGACCACAGCCCTGATCATCCTGTTTTCACAGTACCTCCGTCACATAGCCATGCCCTTTCCTACATACAGCAAGGATAAAAAGCTTCACACTTCTCGAGTCTACATCTTTCAGATTCTCCCTGTATGTAACTGAAGAAGTGATTTATGTTTTATAAATAGAGTAAATTGTGATTGTTTTGCTGTTGTTGCCCGTTTCAATTCTCAGGTCTTGTTGGGAATCACAGTTTCTTGGCTCATTTGTTACATCTTGACGGCGTATAATGTTCTTCCTGCTGAACCAGGGCAGTACGGTTACCTCGCACGCACAGACCTAAAAGGGGAAGTAATCAGCCAAGCTCCCTGGTTTACCTTCCCATATCCAGGTAAGACATTAAGATTATATCTGATTTTAATTTTATATCTCAATATATCTGAAAGTCATGGAAAATGGAGATGTTTCTATTTAAAGCCAGAGATGTGTGCGACTGTAAAAAAAATAAAAAAATAAAAATAAAATTGAAGCTTTTACATGATTTTAAATTTTTTTCCACAAAATAATGCAACATTTATATTATGCAATTCATGTAAAAACTAACAAATCTGTTAGAGGATGTAATGCAAATGTGAAAAAGCTGCAACAGCCTGGTTGTATAAACTAATTCGCTCCCAAAACACATTTTTCACTTTCAGGCTATTTTAAAAAGATATTTTTAATCTGGCAAACGAGCCTTATTGGAATGCATTATTCTAATTCTGAATATGACTGCATGCAAAAAGCATCAACTGGAGACGATCTATGAAAACAGTGACATCAACAAAACTGGATGTTTCTCCAAAAGTTATAAAAAAGATGGACAGAAACTTATTGGGTGCCGTTTGTTGCTACAGTCAAAAATTAACAGCAATTATCTGTTAATTAGCTACCATGACACCGAAAATGGGGTTCATTTTCACCACATTATTCATTCATTTATAAATGTCACAGTTTAAAACCAAATGTTAAATCTGCAAAATAAATATTTAGCTACAAGCTAAACTTTTAGCTTAGAGCTCAGAGCTAAATATTTAGCTAACATGCTAATGCGAGCTTGCCCATAACCGGAAGTGGACTGCTAAAAACAAAAGCTGTGTCTTACGATCCTCCATGTAAATTCCTGCATTGCTGCAGTCAGTCACATCCATCGGTAAAAGTCTGTCCTGCTGGAAAACGACTCATCCGATGTTTCCAGCTGAAACTGCGCATGTCTGAAACAATGACGAGGTGAGCGGCAGAGTTAATAACCGACATCAAGACCCGTGTTTTATTTGGGTAGTCAACTTCCGCCTAGTGAATTTACATGTTAGCTAAATAACCAGTTTGAAGTTAAATATTTACATCACAAACTAAACATCTAGCTTTAACTAAATATTTGACTTGAAACTGTAATATTTCTAAATAAATGAGTAACATGGTGAAAATATGACTTTCAGGCATCAACAATTTTCTGTCAAAACTAAGAAGTATGGCTGCAATACTGAAGCCTTGAATTTCAAATAAAACATTCAGGCACAGATTTAATCTCCTAAAACCTTCTAGCAGAATCATGTGCTTGGATGAAACCTGATTTGAACTTTGGACCACAATTCCATGAGCTAACAGTTTAATAAAATAAATGATAAAACTCTGAGGTGTAGAGTTTATAATGAAGTATGAGGAAGGCAGCACAATAATTTGAGGTTAGTTCTCTTCAGATGGAAAAAAAAATAATCAGTGAGTTTTGATCCTAAACGTTCAAAATGAAGAGGAATTCTGTTTCTCGGTGGAAATTACAGTTTTGAATTGGCCTAGTCAAAGTTCAGTATCATATGTGATAAAAAAAAATCTCAGGAGTCACCTGAAGAGGAGACTGAATATTAAAAATGTATTTAAAAAGATGTCAAATTTATGGAATCAATTTGTATTTTTGACATTTCTTTCTGATTAATGTGTATTATTCACATTTACCATAAGCAGGAATGTAAACTTTTGAAAGCAACAGTATAATGATGAGATCCCAAAAAGCAAAGGCTATTAAAAACTGTTCAAAGCAGGGAAGTCTTTGTGAAAGGAGCTAGTTTAGTGTTTAACTGCAGATAATCAAACGGAATATATTTAAGATGTTTATGTGATGATTTACTCATAGTCTCATTTTCTCTGTCATTCTGCTTTAAACCAAACCCAGGGCAGTGGGGGAAGCCCACAGTGAGCCTGGCCGGCGTGGTGGGGATCCTGGCCGGGGTGATCTCCTCCATGATCGAGTCTGTTGGGGATTATCATGCCTGCGCAAGATTATCTGGAGCGCCGCCACCACCGAGACACGCCATCAACCGCGGCATAGGCATCGAGGGAATCGGCTGCCTGCTGGCTGGAGCGTGGGGAACCGGAAATGGAACCACCTCCTACAGCGAGAACGTCGGCGCGCTCGGTATCACCAAGGTAACAGCCTTCTCCGTGAGACCGCATCAGATTCAAAGAGCAGGATCAGCAGGATCTCCTGACTTTGCAGGTCGGGAGCCGCGTGGTCATAGTGGCCAGCGGGTTGTTCATGGTTGCCATGGGGATACTTGGTAAAATGGGAGCTGTATTTGCAACCATCCCCTCTCCGGTGATTGGAGGCATGTTCATGGTCATGTTTGGTGTCATCTGTGCAGCAGGAGTCTCTAATTTGCAGGTAAACACCTTAAGCTAAAACAGGGAAGTTTCCTGAAAGCTTCTAAAAGATTTCCGATCCTGTTCCGACTGGGAGATTTCTGCTCATATTTTCAGTACGCAGACATGAATTCATCCAGAAATATCTTCATTTTTGGCTTCTCCATGTTCTCTGGTTTGGTCATTCCCAACTGGATATTAAAGAATCCCAAAGCTATTGCTACAGGTACGTAATCAGTTTGTGTTACTTTATTATTAATTAGCTTTTAAAAACATCAAACCGTCGTTGTTTCCAGGTGTGGTAGAGTTCGACCAGATGCTGCAGGTTCTTCTGACAACCAGCATGTTTGTTGGCGGTTTCTTCGGCTTCGTGTTGGACAACACCGTCCCAGGTGCTCTCACACATCAACAACAACCTCAGTGATCTAGTGGGGCAAAGGGCTTTCTGCCCAGGGCTGCACAGCATGGGAAGGCAGTGGGAGCCTTAAGCCAAAAATAATAATATTTTGAGTAACAAAAGTGTTTTCCTAAGAAGATATTGTTGTTCTAAATGAAATGGCTCTTCCTGTGTTTTCTTTGTTTCCTGCAGGATCGAAGCAGGAGCGCGGCATCCTGGCCTGGAACAAAGCTCATGAAGACGATTCGTGTGAAACTCTGGAGACCGGACAGGTTTACAACCTCCCATTTGGCCTGTCCTCCTACCTGTCCTCGTTCTCCTGGCTGCGCTACGTCCCGTTCTGCCCGCCGGGCCTGTCCAGCTCCCTGGATCCCAAGCAGCCGCTGGGAACTCCAGACCCGGGTCAGATCATGATCGGAGTTGGGTTGTGAGCCGCGGTTCCACGTCACGGTGCCGTCATTTGGGATTTTCCAAACACACCACCAGAGGCAGCTCAGACTCTGTAACATCTCAGAGACGGTGTACTGTAGCAACAGAGTTTGGATCTTATTACATAACAATTCATCTTTCATTTCACATCATGTTTAACTGCTACATTGAATTTTAGATGAAATCAAGTGGTGAATTCTGAAAAGAAGGACATGAAGAAGTAAAAACGTAATCTCTGCCATTTCTTAGAAATAAAAAAGCGACTGCAGGGCTAAGATACTTTGACTGGACAAAGTTCAGAAATATGCAACAGCAGGCGAATGCGACCCACATCTGATGTTTTCACAGCAGGATGTGGAGCCGGACCAGGAGTCATTATTATCATTTTCAGCCATTATTTACATCCAGATTTACCGTCTGGCTTCTTCTGCTGCTGCTTTATGACACACGTCTCACATCAGTGACGTAAAAGTCAGATAAAGTTTGACGTAAGGCTTCAGACAGCAGACTGTAAAAACTATCTGATGCCATTTAGTTCCACATATGGAAGTGAAACAGATCAGTTTTTCAAAAGATTGGAATTAGGACATTCAGACTGCCGTACAAAAATAAAAAAAATAATAAAATAAATAAATCAGATTTGGGTCGTATCGCCTGCTGTTTGAACGCAGCCTAGGCTGATTGTGATGAACCTCCAGGACGATGTTTTATATCTACATGAACAAAGCAAAAGCTGAATTAAAAAAAATCTGTGGCAGGATTTGTAAAAATGTAAACATAACTGTTGGCATGCAGAGAAAAGTTTCTGCTTCTCACGTTTTAACAGTGATCAGAAACTTAAATTGGTAAAAGAGGAGAGAAACACGTCTACTGACCTGCTGCTGCGGAATACATGTTTGGAAAGATATTTAATCCAGTGGTGCTTTGCTTTGAAATCCAAGATGGTTTATTATTTACAGTGGATCCTTAATTACAAGAGATTAAAATGAATCCAACATGGACACGCTTATTAAAGTTTTCAGATATTTTTCTCTCATATTTGCATATTATTTTCACTTTGTTTTGTTGTGACTCATTTAAAGTTGTTCTGTTTTTGGTCTCAGATGTCAGTTACATGCAGGTGCTACTAAATCAAATATCCGATGTAAATATGATGTAAATATGGGATTTCACACTTGAATCGTCTTTTGCTGAGAATATTTCAGTGATTTCTTCATTTTGATTTCTGTTCAGTTCATTTCTGATTCTCATTTCTTTCAGTTGCAACATCTAATATTGAATTTTAAAGTGATGTACATTAAACTTAAACACTGAACTCAGTTTGTCCGTGCCAGGTCTCGTTTTATAGCTTTGTATAAACCAACAAAAGACTCTGCCCACATTTCTCTTTGGTGAACAGAAGCAGCGCTGATCATCTTCTGGGTTGTGTACACCAAAGTCATCAAGAGTCGCTCAAAATCGTCCTGATGCAGTGAAGCGCTGTGATCCGACAGCTCAGCTATGAGCCCAAACACTTCTGTTGGCTTCTTGGGAACGATCTCCTCACAGATGAAGTTCAGATTTCTGGTCTGACGGAGCGAAGAAAGTTCAGCATCGTCGACAGAAAACTCCCCACTGGGCTCAAAACGTATGCCGGCCATCAGGATCTGATACACAGAGAGAAGAAAGGGCAAAAATGCAACAAATGCACATTCAGAGATACATCTGGGTCATATTTATTTTATTCACCTCATATAACAAATGGGCATCACTTATGGTTTTGTAGAACGTTGGATTTCCAGCTGCTGAAGATCCTCTTTTCACTTTGGCTGCAGCAGGAAACAGGACTTTGTGCAAAAATAAAATAACAGGCACAAGAATATTTAAATAAGCTTAGCTTCACTATCAACTTTACTTCTCTATGCACATGTTCAGGATTAATGCTGTAAACTCTCAGAAGTGGATAAATCTTTGTGTCAAATGAAAAAACGACTTTATCTTTAATGGAGGGTTGCTGCTTTGCTGCACGTCATGAGCTTCAAACTCTGACCTCTGACCTTACAGACAAATTCTGTCTGCAGACACTAAACCTCAAAGGTACAAGGAAAGTCAAAGGAGGAGCAACACATGGAAAATATTACACAGTCCAAATGATTTCAACATGCAATGCATGGTTTTAGTTTTCCTGGCTTTACGTTACAGAACGATCACAACAGGATGTGCAGCAACGGAAACGATTTAAGATTAAAACCTTAAGTTTAAAATAAGAGGAGCTGATCTGCTGCTGCGGTTCTTCACATTTTATAAAGTGTGAAGCAAAGATTCAGATAAAAGGAAAAAACTGAATAAACAAAGATCTCAGTGGAGAAAAAGATCAACGGATTGGTTAAATAATATGGCACAGGTTTGAAAACTGACCCAGCTTTTATTTTGGCAGCTCACTTCCTCTTATCAGCAAGTGAGTTTTCATGTTAGTTAAATATTTAGTTCGAAGCTGTTCTGCTTATTCGTCTCCTGTAACGTTTCTGTTTTCATTATTAAACCTTAAGCATTGATCATCAAGCTCCTGCTGCATGTTGGTCCAACTTTAAAAATCATGTAACACGATCCACTCAGCCTTCCTGTTATCATCTCGTCTGAATTAACAGATACGAATCAAAAATGCCAATTTCCAGATTCCCAAACTGCCTGTTACACTGGGTCAGTGGTAAAAGTTTGACTTCTGGAGTCTGAGATTGACACCTGGTTCATCATGAGTCAGAATTTGCTCTATTTTTTAAGAGCCAAATAAACCTTTTGCTACTTATTATTCATAGCAATGAAGAAAAGACTTTATGTTGCCATATGTTCAAAAGATTATTGAGTTCAAGGCTTTTATATCTGGAGGATGAAGAAAGAAACTGAAACGGTTTTGGATCCATGTTGTTTTCTGGCTTTGCTGCTGTAAAGCATACTTTAAAATAAAATATAAGCAGCCATGATGAAGATCATAAACTGGAATGGCGTTCATAAATCTCTCTAAATGGAGGGCACCGTCACATGCCTGGCCGCCACGTCTGGCTGCAGGCGATTATGTGGAAAACGTCAGAAGGTCCCAGAGCCGCAGACTGAACTCAGATGTTCAGCAGCTGAAAATTCACCAGGATTTACTGACTGATTTTCCTTCATAACATTTTATGTCCCATCAGTCACAGTTTTTGTCAGTGGCTTTGGTGCGTTACTCACATCATTATTGAATAGGACTGTAACTTTCATTTTGATTAATTAGTTACATCGATTTTAACACGGTAAGCATTCTACCACCATTCATCACTCTTTTCCCCTTTTACATACTTAAGTTCTGGCTGGAACTTTTGTATTTGCGTGTTTCCGGAACACCTGTAAATATGATGCACAAGTGCTAACAGAGCCACTTCTCTTGGCCCTCTGGGGGTTAATTAAACTATTGTTGTGCTAAAGTTGTGCTAAAATCAGTTAGCCTATCAGTAAAAATGTTTAAGCTTAAAATAGCATCTCAATGCTAAACATGTAGCTGCAGCACAGATGCTAACGATAATGTAGCATCCACAGTAGCAGCTAACGCTAATGTCAGCATCCACATTTCTGAAGAAGCTCCATGAATGATCAGAAAAACTCTGGAAAGACGAACGAATAGAAAAACACTTTGCTCCAACCTGGAGGCTGAACAGGTTAAAAACTACAATCTTTGCAGTTGAGCTCATATATTATATCTATTTACATTCATTCAGCAGCAAAAAGGAATCTAAACTAAAACAAACATTCTGCCACATGAAATCAAAACATTGATTAGAGGCTCTGATATCTAATAAAAATGATTTAATTGGTTCTTAACCTGATCCGATCTTATCATTTATTCTGAGAAAGTTTTAATTTCTTAAAGAGGAAACTTCAAACTGCAAAGTTTACTGCATAAAGACAAAACAATAATATTTATATCTAGATATATATATTTTAATTAAAAAGACATAAAGTCAGATAGAAAATTTAGAACTACAACATCCATTTTTCTCTATTATTAATAGCTGAGCAACAATCCATCTCACCTTTCGTCTGGGACTTGGTGACATCGGTCCTGATGAAGCAGTAGAAAAGTCCAAACATCACTAGTCTCCAGGAAACCATGGCAACCAGATCTACCTGAGGATGGAAACCAGGCTGAAGTTTGTCTTGGTGTTGGTGAAAACTCTGTGTCCTCTGGTTCAGTTTGTCTCCTGTGTCTCCAGTCCAGCAGCTCCGTGTTTCACCGTCCAGTAAACTTTCTTCTCTGCTGTCCTCAGACTCTCTCTCTCTCTCTCTCTCTCTCTCTCTCTCTCTCTCTCTCTCTCTCTCTTTCTCTCTTCCCTGAACATCTGATTTCTCTCTGTTTTGTGTTTCTGCAGCTGCATTTTAACACTAAGATGGTTTCAGGTTCAAACTCCTGCTTCTGGTTTATTTTAGTAACCTTTGTAACACACTTTCCTTTTCCTCTGAATAAATAATTTATGTTGTATTTAACATCCAGTAGTGAAAAAGAAAGATAAAAGTGTCACTAAAACGTTACTTTTAGCTGCTGTTTGCATGTAAGAAACTCAGTTAAGTCTTGGAAAACTATCTTCAGCCAATACAAAGTGTGTATGTATGTGAAGTCCAGGAAAAATGATTCTTAGGTTTAACATTTGTGGTTCAGTGTAATGCAGTTTGGTTGCCGTGACTACAGATCTTTAAATTCAATCCATTTACCAAGTTACCCAAATATGTTTTACAAATAAAAATCTAGAAAAACCTGGAACCAAAAATTTACATAAGCATTATAAATAAATAAATAAATAAATAAATAAATAAATAAATAAATATCTGTCTGGAGTTAAATCAGACCAAATGTTTCTCATTTCAGGTCAGTTAGAATCAACAAAAAGCCAGAAAACATAGCAATAATTTTTTTGTAACTTTCTTTGAATTCTGAAGTTTACATACAAAATCAGGGTTTTCCTCCACAAACCTCAACAATTTCCAAATGCTTGAAGTTCATCTGTTCAACCATAAACATGATGGGAACGTCCGACCGTCACGGCGTTCCGGAAGGAGACGGGTTCTGGTCCAAAATGTGCAGATTGAACCCAGAACAAAAGTCAGTGACTTTGAGACGAAGTCATTACCCACAGCGAAACTGTCCAGTACTGACATAAAGCCGCTCAGTGAGGAAGAATAAAACAGCCAGAATGCCGTTTGCAGACGCACAGAGACAAAGACCTTCATTTCTGGAGACACGTCCTCCAGGCTGACGGGACTGACGTGGGACAATGTGGACATGATGACCATCGGTACATCTGGAGCAACAAACCCTGCAGCATCATGATGTGGGATCGTTTTGCTGCAGGAGGAACTGGTGCACTTCCTGAAACAGATGCATCATTAGGGAAAGAACATTATGCAGAAACGTTGAAGCAACGTCCGAAGACATCAGCAGGAAGTAAAGGTTTGGGTTAAAAACCGACCCGAGGTTTAAGGACAATAAAGTAAATGTCTGTGTCCTTCACAAAGCTCTGACCAGAACCCTACTGAGAAACTGTGAGCGTATCTAAAAAGATGTGTGACCCGGTTCCACTGGTTCTGTCCAGATGAATGGACCAGAACTTCAGTTAACTGCTGTGAGAAGCTGGAGGAAAGAAACTAAAAAAAAAAACTTGATTCTGAGCAAATTTATGCAAATTCCTGAATTCAAGAAGAGTTACAACAAAAATCTCTACAAAATGTTCTCTGTAGGTTTTCTGTTTTTAGCAAATAGAAATAAAACAGGAGACGTTTGGTCTGCACTGACTTCAGTCGGTGAGAAGAAAGTGTCGTATCTTTGTATTCAGTGAATGTAAACTTCTGGTTTTAGCTCTTCTTTGTCTCATATTTCTGTCTGCATCTTTTTGAACCAAACAACAAACTTCTTTTCACTTTCTTTCAACAGCAGCTTTTTTATTCTTTCATAAACGCTGGATTTGAAAATGCTTTATTGAAATAAAAACAAACAAGCATCAAACATAAAACATGGTACAGTAAATAAATAATAATAATAATTGTTAGGCAGCTACAATAAATTATAAGTGCCCACAAAAACAAATTAGAAAATACCAGACAAACAATAAAAACATCAATATTCTGGAAAGCCCCTGAAAACATTAACCAAAAAACAAATAAATACACATAATAGTTCATTTATTATTAAATCTAAAAGTAAATACAGTAATGACGAACATAAAAACAAATTAAACATATTTTGTATATTTTTTCAGCTTATCAAAGCATAATTATATCAGGATTATGTCTCCTAAGTCATGCTAGTTATTTCCCATAATTAGAAAAATGAAGCTGAAAACCTCATAAAGGAAAATCTTAGTTATTATTTCAATTTATTTGATGCCTCAGAATCAAAAACATCTGCAGAACCCAGACAGCCGCTTTGTTCACCGTTTGGCACAACTTTTCCTCTCCAACAAAAAACTGACGTCAGGAATATTTACTGTACCCAACATGGAACCACATAAAACTCATTTTATTTCCCTTCTCTTATTTTACTGTAAAACTGAACAAAGAGTCACATTAACTCTGTAAAACCAACAAGCCTCAGAGATTAGAAGCTAGAAAAGATTTTTCTAAATGTCAAATAAATAAGGATGTTACTGTGAGATGATCCTGAACACTTTGCAGAGGAAGAAACGCCCATAAATAAAATATAATTTCTGTTTTTCCTTTTTAGTGACATGTTGTTCTGGTATCAGTTGTTTTACAGTCAAACTGTTAATGTGAGATCACAGCATGTCAGACGTCACTGCAGCTTTTAGAATGTTTACCGTATAATTTGAAGTTACGCATCATTAATAATTTAACAAATACCCAAATGAGTTTTAAATATTTTTAATGAAAAAATGTTTCATTAAATGTATAATTTATTATTATTTGTAAAATTATTTCATCATACATATCAGTAATATGAAATAAGTTATAATTTTAATAATATATATGTATTTTTTTATTAAATAATTAGTTATTAACTTAGATACATTTGAAATGATTAAAATAATGATGAAAAGTGATATTCTACAAGCTGGAAAGTTTGATTGTCATTCAGACTTTTTCAGGTTGAGAGTTCCTGATTTATGTTTGAGACGTGTCATCATATTCCTCCAGTTTCTCTTTCTCTGGACAGAAATCGTGCCAACACACAGATCATAAATAATAAAGACTCATGGAGCTTTTTACACCAAGTGGGAGATTCATGTGGAATATGGACTGGTTGGACTCAGATGTTTAATAAAACACAGACTTGAACAGTGAGACCCGAGTGCGTGGAAATGGAAATTTAATGTGAAAAAGTCTGGAAAGAGTGTGTATGATTTTATGCATTTTATCTTGAGACTATGCTTTTCAAAAATGTATTTTAGAGAGTAATTTATTATTCTTGTAGCTTCTTCAGGGGCTAAAACATCTGGAAGGCAGACAAACACTGGAAATCAGGATAGTCCGGAATTGGATACATTTAAGTTATTTTTTTATGAATGCACACTGTCCCAATTAGACAAATAAATAAATAAATAAATAAATAAATAAATAAATAAATAAATAAATACTATTAGCCAAACACTGCCTCACAGTAACAAACTGTTTGACTGGAGGAAACTTTTAATTTCCAGCTTTACCAAAAACATCAATAATTCATGGAGTAAAACTGAAATATTTGTCTAATTATGAACCATTTTATCAAGAAGCTGACTAATTGACAAAATCTTAACAACCCAGATTGCTGTCGAACTGGTGCTGATTGTGGTACACTTAATAAAAAATATACATGACGTATTAGTATCTACTTAGCTGTAACCTGTAGTATCCCCCATCATCCACCAGATGTCAGTATTTAACCACGTTAAATGGAATCTGACTCATTTCTTTCAGCCCCTGCAATAAGATAAACTGCTATACGACAAATAATTGATCTTATTAATTAACCAACAAAACCTTTCATTAAAACATGCATTTTGATAAATTAGGAAACTGTCTCCATATCTGAGTTCTTCCAGAGGTAATTTTAAAAAATTTTGCTCAGCGATCCATCAGTTTCTTGGCAGCTAGAGTTTTGGAGATACCATCAGCTTCATCCAGTCTGGATGGTCGCCACTTCACAGCCTGCTACTGCAGCTTTTCCACAGGCCATCTGTCATCACTACGCTCCTCTATTGTACGCTGCTGTCTTCAGGCCAAACCCTTTTTATGATCCATTCTCCTATGTTTTTAAAGTGATAGTGTATTTTCTGTCTGGCAGAGCCCTGGTGACCACGTTGTTAGCTTGAACCGCATTGCTTTCTGTCAGACTCAGTGTTTGTCAGTGACACGGAGCAAAGCCATGCTGTAATTAACTGGATTACAGTTACAAAAGCTCAGCAGAAAACGGCTGAAATGTGATTTTCTGCGATGGTCTTCGTCCGAATCACAACCGAGTTTCTCGCTGTGGAAACTGAAAAAACTCTGAATTTTACAGTGAATGCATATTTACCAGAGTTTGACAAATTGTTGGCGTTTTTACATTTTTGGTTTGACACAGATATTCATGTAAAATAAAATAACTTCATCATCCTCATCATCATCCATGGTTTCATCTGTCTGTTGTTACAAAACGGGTCATTGGGTCGGGATTCAAACCCAGAACCGTTTTCCTGCAAGGCATTCACATTTCCAGTTTTAGGAAGCCCTAATCATTCATTAGCATTAACTGCTACATGCTTAGCATTGAGATGCTAGTTTAGGCTAGCATAGCTTCTCTGACAGGCTAACTCTCTTTAGCACAACTTGAACACAATAGTCTTCTCCAGGGTCCAATCAGATCGTTTAGAAACAGACATTAACTCCCAGAGGAAAAGAGAAGTGACCTTGTCGCCCATCGCTGTTAGCAGATGAAGCTGTTGCATCAGATTTATTCCACAAGCATGGAAATGGAAAGCTTCCCAGGTATGTAAAAAACAAATTAATGTGTTGAAATCTTTGTTAGTAATTAGTTGAAATCGTTGAGTTAACGTTCCTGTCTTAATATTTTCTGTCATGTTAGATGTTGACGTTTCTTTGAGGACGTCTGTGAAGAGGAAGAGGTGATAAAAATGGCGTTATCTTGTTTTTTATGGACCAGTTCTGAGCAGTTCTGGTGGGTTTTTGGGTGTTCAAGGTGAGTTTGATGGAGCAATGAGAGTGAAATATGAGAAAACCCCATGAAGCTCCTCACATCCTGCTAGCATGAGGAGGCTCAGGTGCAGCTCGCTTGGCCCCGCC